AATTGAGGTTGTGTTCAACCTCAAGTGGCCTCGATGAGTGAAGGAGGAGGTTTGGCGTTGTCGTTGTCGATGAAGTAAAATTTTGAAGTGAAAGATGAAATCAGTCTTAAGTAGGAGATTGTTGGGATATGAAACTGATTATATCCTAAAATCTAGGGATATGATTCAGATAATATATTCTAGATTTTAGATATTGATTTGAATATTATTGGTATAGGCTTAGCCTACAAATATCCATGTATTCTCACTTTAACATGTGTTGTGTACTTTATAGTAAAATTCCTAGCTTGGCAGCGGCCCCGAATGTAGAACATGGTGATCGAAATGGGTTATCAAATTATTTTGTTCTTGTATCCTTGTTTGTCTCTTCTTGATTTCATGAAATTTCCGTAACAATATTTTATTTATTACGTGATTTTTTTTATTATATTAAATTATACACAAAATACTTTATTGGTCCAAAATCGACTTTAGTTGTAAAAACTAGTTTAAATATGCAAATATCATATAAATAAATACAGTAAAATGTCTTAAGTATAGATCTTTTGAATAAAATAAATAAATAAAAATAAAAATAATAAACTATTTGTAAAAATTAAGTCATGGTTTGTCTTTATTTTTCTTATCTTACAAATAGTGAAATATAGAATGAATCAAATTTGTATTTATTTATTTAATTTTTCTTATCATACAAATAGTGAAATATATAATAGATCAAATATTTATTTATTTAATTCAAATAATAATAATACTACTATTTAAGATATTTTACTATCTTTATTTGTATAATACTTATTTACTGCACAATAAATAAATAAAAATAATTAGCTAGAGTATTTTATTTATTAATTAATAAAATTTAATGTAGGGTGTGTTATTTTAATATTCAAGAATTTTTTATTTTGAATTATTGGAAATTTGTAAAATTTATTAAAATAAGTATTTTTATTATTAACAAGCAGATTTATTGAAACTATATGCCTCCCCTGAATATATATGAACAAACAATTAGATAAGGAGTTAAATGTAAAATTAGTTAAAAATTGACAATAATGGCGAAGGTGTTCAGGTGAGCTAGATTAGCCGATGAACTTTATTTAGGATTTGTTAAAAACCGGAAATAATCACTACAAAAAAAATGTCTTTTTGTAACGTTCAAATATTTGTAATTAAAACCCATTTTTCGTGCAAAATAGCTTTTTGTATCGATTTTATTACGAATTTTGACCGCCACGAAAAATCGCAGTACAAAAAATCCGTGTTGCAACAAAATCCGTAACAAATATTTGGTGGTCAACTCTCAAAATAAGCACGTGTTAATTATAATTGTTACGTTTTTTGGTATGTAACAAAAACATCAATCATGTTTTTGAATTGACAAATATCCGACACAAATAATGCGGAACAAAAGTTGAATAATTTTAGAGAAATATTTGTTACGACATATGTCCGAAGCAACAAATGCATTACAAATGTCTAATCTTGTCGGAAAACTTCTTGTTACAAGATTTGTCCATAACAACAATACATTACAAAAGGATTGCCCCCTAACAAATAAGTTGTTTGTAAAAAAAAAAAAAAAAAAAAAAACAAATAAGTTGTTTGTTACAAAATTAGTCCACAACAAAAAGTCATGACAAAAGTCAGGCAACCATACATTACCATTTGTACCGGCCACTGTCTGTAACTAAAAATACGCTACCAAGGACGTCCCTGTGTGGCATATTAGTTTTGTCGCCATAAATAAATTACATTTGTCTGTATTATTAATCTGTGAGACAAATAATTTAAAACTTAATCTTATCATAATTGTTTCCAAATCCATGGTAATACTACACATGGTCATCAATACAACAATGTTCATAGTCCAACCAAAAATAAAATATTAGTCGTCAACGGTGCTAACAAAACATCCCAAGAAAACACCAATCCGTACACAAACATAACAACCTACTAAATAACGATATGCAAAACCAAAAAGTAATATGTAAATTGATAAATCTGATATCATACGGAAGTACGATCTTAAGGGCAACTCATAAATACGACTATGAATGACCCAGCTCGTCGAGTGCAGAATCATGGAGGATGCAAACAAGGGCCGCGAACCAACGGCAACGTGTTTTTAATAATATATAAGCATTTAATACAAAAATTTAAGTAATTTAATTTCTTAAGGAATAAAGTAAATAAAAAAAATGCGTACATCCTCGTAAATCTACTCGATATTATCTCTGTCGAATACATCACCGAGAACTTTCCCTCAAGAATTAGTTGGAAGGATAAGTGCGGTCTCCGGGACTATTACAACTGTAACATACACCTTAACAATGGCTAGGGTATCACCTATATAAATAGGGTAAACAAGCGCTAGTTACGAGGAAGGTCTGTGACGTAACCCGCGTGGGTTCGTATATTTTTCCCAGGTTGAACAAGAATAACCTCAATAGATAAGAAATTCAAGAAAGAAAATAGATAAGATAGGGCTGAAATTTGATACCCAACCTAGTTGATTAAGAATCTCAAGAATTCAATCTTACACCCAAAATCCTAACTATGGAAAAGGAACAAATCGATAGGCTTAATTCCTCTACAAGAATTTAGAAGACACGAACCAATAGATAATTCCAAAGACCCGATTTGAAAACAATGTGCAAGGAATCACTCACTCACACTTTGAAAGTAAACACAATGACAAACACAAGTTTTCAAAGGAAGAGAAATATATTATATCCAATGTTTTTATGAAAATGGATACAAGAACCAATATATAGGCCAGGGGGGGGGGGGGGGCAAAGCACTTAATGCACTTAATTACAATTAAATTGGCAACACATTCCCATAGAAAACATATCCCAATATACATAATTGTTACATGTTCCCAAAAGCCTATTACCAATATCACAATAATGACAACACATTCCCAAAAGAATATATTTCCAAGATTGTAATTAATGGTAGTACATTCCCAAAAAGTGATGTAAGCAATGATGTCAATGCTATGATGTAAGCAATGACATCATCACATGTCTTAAATTATTTTGATTTGTATAACCGTTAAGCTCGGGCCGATAGGTCTCGATGCTTCATCTTTGTTTATATTCTTCATCTCGAGCTCTCGTATTAATCCGAAAAATTGATCTTGAAGTTTACGAGATTGGCTTCGGGTAATTGGTCCAAGTGCTTCGGAAGGCTTTTGGACGTTCACGTCATCCCCCCCTTTTTGAAGAGGTTTGTTGTTCTCTAGAATAACATCATCGTCTCCTACATCATACAAAGTCAAATCAGCAACATTAAAGGTACCATGGACTTGGTACTCACCTGGGAGTTCGATGTGGTAAGCATTGTCATTCACTTTCTCCAAAACACGGAATGTGCAATCACCACGTGGTGTTAACTTCGACTTTCTTATATCGGGAAAGCGTTCCTTATGCAAGTGCAACCAAACCCAATCACCTGGCTGGAGTTGAATTATCTTACGACCTTTGTTTGCTTGCTTGATGTATTGCTCAGCCATCCTTTGGAGTCTTGTACGGACATTATCATGCAATTGCCGCACAAATTCCGCTTTCTTCCTACCATTAAGTTTGATTTGCTCATTGCGAGGCAATGGCATAAGATCAAGAGGTGTCAGTGGGTTAAAGCCATACACAATTTCAAATGGTGAATAATTTGTAGCCCTATGAATGGTACGATTGTAAGCAAACTCAACATGTGGTAAGCATTTTTCCCAAGATTTCATGTGTTCTTGAACTAAGGTACGCAGTAAACTACCTACAGTTCTATTCACGGATTCAGTTTGCCCATCCGTTTGTGGGTGATGTGAAGTTGAAAATAGCAATTTTATGCCTAATTTAGCCGATAAGGTTTTCCAAAAGTAACTTAGAAATCTAGAGTCACGATCAGAAACAATGGTTTTCAGAATACCATGCAATCTAAGAACTTCTTTGAAAAACAAATTTGCTACATGTGAGGCATCAATGGTTTTAGTGCATGGTATAAAATGAGCCATCTTTGAAAATCGATCAACAACCACAAAAATCTAGTCTTTTCCACCCCTACTTCTAGGCAATCCTAAGATGAAATCCATAAAAATATCAACTCAATGGGATTCAGGAATTGGGAGGGGTGTATACAAACCATAAGGTTGAGAAGTTGACTTGGAAGATAAACAAATGGTGCATTTTCGAATAGCCATCTCTACATCAACTTTCATTTTTGGCCAAAAAAAGTGTTCTTTTAACAAGTTCAAGGTCTTTGAAATCCGAAAATGACCCATTAATCCTCCCGAATGTGCCTCAGAAATCAATAAATGCCTTAGTGAACATCTTGGAATGCACAAACGATTTTCACACATTACGTACACATTATGCAAATGATACTTATCGTAAGCATGCTTAAGACACCAGCAAAAATTTCAGAAAAATCCAAATCATTTGCATATAAATCTTTCAAGTAAGAAAATCCTAACAATTTAGATTCAAGGGTAGCAACTAGAGTGTACCTTCGGGAGAGTGCATCGGCTACCACATTATCTTTACCTTTCTTGTACTTGACAATGTACGGGAAGGTATCGATGAAAGAGATCCACCGGATGTGTCTTGGACTCAACTTTTTGTGGGATTTGGTGTGCTTCAAGGACTCGTGGTTGGTATGGACGACAAACTCACGTGGGTGCAAGTAATGTTGCCATGTTTGGAGAGCACGGACCAAGGAATAGAGTTCCTTGTCGTATGTGGAGTAGTTGAGGGCTGCACCATGTAACTTCTCACTAAAGTAGGCCATGGGTCTTTTATCTTGAGTTAGAACAGCTCCAACCCGTACACAAGAAGCATCACATTCAACTTCAAAGAATTTTGAAAAATCGGGTAAAACAAGGATAGGTGCTTGTGTGAGCTTTTGTTTCAATGTATCAAAAGCATCTTGTTGAATACTTCCCATTCAAAATTATCATCCTTTCTCGTGATGGCGGTTAGTGGAGCGGAAATGGTGCTGAAGTTTCACACAAATCGTCGGCAGAAGCTTGCAAGGCCATGGAAGCTCCGAACATCCTTCACGCTCGTCGGTGCCTTTACTTTGCTTTCATCCACACTAATCCCATCTTTTCCTACAATAAAACCAAGGAAGTTGCACTTGTCGACACAAAAATTGCACTTCATGCGGTTAGCAAACAACTTCCCATTTCGAAGAACATCAAGTACATCATTAACATGTTTTGTGTGTGCATCAATAGATTGACTATTAATTAGTATAACATCAAAATACACAACAACAAATTTGTTAATGGAATTCCTCAAAATATGGTTCATCAACCTCATAAAAGTGCTCGGTGCATTTGTGAGTCCAAATGGCATAACAAGCCATTCATATAAACCAAAAGTGGTTTTGAAGGCTGTTTTCCATTCGTCACCTTGATTCATACGAATTTGCTGATATCTACTTTTCAAATCAATTTGGAAAAGATTGTTGAACCACTCAAATTATCTAACATATCATCTAATCGAGGAATTGGGTAACGATATTTTACCGTAATTGCATTGACAACACGACAATCAACGCACATCCTCCATCTTTCTTTGACACCAAAAGTACGGGCACTGCACAAGGACTGAGGCTCTCAAGAACCCATCCTTTGCTCAACAACTCATCAACTTGCTTATTGATTTCCTTTATCTCATCCGGATTGGCTCTATATGCTGGCCGGTTCGGAAGAGCAGATCCCGGGATAAAGTCAATTTGATGCTCAATCCCTTGAATTTGAGGCAACCAACAAGGTACTTCTTCGGGAAACACATCATCAAAATCCTGCAACAAGTTAGCAATGCTAGAGGGAAGAACATTAGTATCTTGATGAGACAAATATAAAGGTTTAGTGAATATTAACAAACAATGTACTCCCTTTTCCAGTTGGTTGATCTCCTTCCTACTAACAAATAAGTTAGTCATCACACTCTCGTGTATAGAAGATCTGTCGGCATTTCCCTTACTCACACCACTCGTGTTTTTGGAATTTGAGTGTTTGGATTTTGAAGAAGAGGGATTGGAAGAGTTTTTGAATAGAAAGCTGCTGAAAAATTTTATGTGGGTCAAAGGTGTTTGAAATGCACTTACTTTTCTTATCATCTTTGCTTACAAGGACTTTCTTACCATTCTTTTGAGCTTTTTCTCGCTTTGTTCCGCACCATATTGTTTGTATAAATACTTTTGATCCTCGTTGACCTCTCTCGGACTCAATGGCTTCAAAGTAATAGGTTTCCCAAGATGGGAGAAAGTGTACCTATTACGATATCCATCATGAAGTACCTTCTTGTCAAATTGCCAAGGACGTCCTAGTAACACATGACAAGCTTGCATCGGGGCTACGTCACACCTCACTTTGTCTTTGTAGCCTTGAATCTCAAACTCCAAATCCACTTTTTTGAGAACGTTGATCTTGCCACAGTTGTTCAATCATTGTAACTTATACGGCTTCGGATGGACAAGGGCTTTCAAAACCAACTTCTTTACTGCAAGGTCACTCATAACATTAGTGCAACTACCTCCATCAATGATCAAGCTACATACCTTTTTTCCCACCTTGCATCTCCCATGGAATAAGTTATCCCGTTGCTCCGTGTCCTCGACACCTTTGGCCAAAGTACTAAGAGGTCGCAAGGTCACCAACGTCAATCCACTATTGGTTATGGATTCATCTTCCTCTGGATTGATCTCTTCGGTCTCCTCCATGTCCTCCTCGAATTCGGATACATAATCTCTGGTGGACGTGATGATCATGGTCCTCTTGTTAGGACATTGATTGGCAAAATGTCCTTGTCCTTGACACTTAAAACAAAATAACTCATGAGTGCGAGTAGTGGATCCATTATTTGGAGAGGATGTCGTACCCTTTGATTGTGACGATGCAGCAACGGCGGATTCCTTCCCTTTGCTTGCTGTTGAGGGAGGTTGCGGCTTTGACATGTTTGTCGGCTGCGGCGTCCTTTGATGTATGTGCACCTTAGTCTTTTTCTTCAATTGTCTCTCCAATTTGATGGCTTGGTGTACCATATTCTCAAAATCCACGTAATGATACATCTCCAAACTATCAGCAATTTCTTGATTAAGCCCATTGAAAAAACGGGCCATAATACGTTCAGGATCGTCGTCAACATCAGCTTGCTTCAGCAACATCTCTAACTCCTTGTGGTATTCATCCACCGTTCTTGATCCTTGCTTCAAACCTTCCAACTTCCGTAGTACCTCATGGTGATGATGTGGCGGCACGAACTTTCTCTGCATGAGTCCTCGCAACTTATTCCAAGTGCCCACGAGAGGCTCTCTCTGTCTACGTCGTGAGAGGTTGGTCTGGTCCCACCATGATAAAGCATAGTCAGAGAACTCCATGACAGCAACACGTAACTTTTGTTGCTCTAAAATTTGTTGCACGGAAAAAATCAACTCCATCTTACGCTCTCATTCTAGAAACGCGTCGGGATAATATTTTCCATTGAATGGCGGAACTTGGAACTTAACAGGTGGTGCAACCTCATCATCATACCTCCTTCGGGGGTTATGCAGTCTCCGTCATGGGAGTTCATCATTGAACTCTTCTTCTTCCTCCTCATAGTCACGCTCGTACCGCCTTGGTTCACGGAGGTTACGTCGGGGAGCTGGTACTTCTCTTCGAAGGGCGTTATTTCTAACTCCCCCATCACGAACACCTTCCTCGTCAATGGCTTCAGAACCATGTGGAGTTCCTTGCCGCTGTTGGTTAAACTCCAACTTATTCATGCGATCATTAAGCACCTCGAGTGTAGAATGGTGTAACTCCTTCACTTGGTTCATCACCAAATTCAAGAGGTTTTGAACATTTACATTTTGAATCCGTGTGTCCTCCTCTTCTGCCATTAGGAAAATTAATATGGAAATATATGTATAGATTAGTTAGAAAATAAGCCCTCACAACTCTCGTGTTTCACTCCTCATGTATTGTACCTCTCCGTCTTGCACAAAGCACAAATTAGATCGGTGTAGTGTTTCCAAAGATGTGACAAAAAAAATCAAGAGAGTGAAAGCAACTACGAAGAACTCGAATGAAATTGAGAAATAAAAAAAGAAAAAAATACTTATGACGGAAAATGCGGAAGCTATAATAGAACAAACAAACAAGTGTGATGCTTTTTTATTAGCACAAGCTTTTGTAATAATTTTTTTTTCGTTTTCCCTTTTTTTTTTTGAAAAGAAGAAAGAATAACACTCGACTGTAGAAACTCGAGCTAACTAGCTCTTATACAAAAATGACGTAACCCGCGTGGGTTTGTATATTTTTCCCAGGTTGAACAAGAATAACCTTAATAGATAACAAATTCAAGAAAGAAAATAGATAAGATAGGGCAGAAATTTGATACCCAACCTAGTAGATTAAGAACCTCAAGAATTTAATCTTAGACCCAAAATCCTAACTATGGAAAAGGAACAAATCGATAGGCTTAATTCCTCCGCAAGAATTTAAAAGACACGAACCAATGGATAATTCCAAAGACCCTATTTGAAAACAATGTGCAAGGAATCACTCACTCACACTTTGAAAGTAAACACAATGAAAAACACAAGTCTTCAAAGGAAGAGAAATATATTATAACCAAAGTTTTTATGAAAATGGATACAAGAACCTATATATAGGCCAAGGAGGGAGGGCAAAGCACTTAATTACAATTAAATTGGCAACACATTCCCATAGAAAACATATCCCAATATACATAATTGCTACATGTTTCCAAAAGCATATTACCAATATCACAATAATGGCAACACAATCCCGAAAGAATATATTTCCAAGATTGTAATTAATGGTAGTACATTCCTAAAAAGTGATGTAAGCAATGATGTCAATGCTATGATATAAGCAATGACACCATCACATGTCTTAAATTATTTTGATTTGTATAACCGTTAAGCTCGGGCCGATAGGTCTCCATGCTTAATCTTTGTTTATATTCTTCATCTCGAGCTCTCGTATTAATCCGGAAAATTGATCTTGAAGTTTACGAGCTCGGCTTCGGGTAATTGGTCCAAGTGCTTCGGAAGGCTTTTGGACGTTCACGTCAGTCTGCCTCTATAAACATTATGGATGAATATAATAAAATAAAACTTACACTTTAGCTTGATCAAGGGACCCCATCTTAAATACAAGTATGGTAACAAATAAACTCGAAAAGCACTAATAAAATAGGCTGACCCCTGAACATTATGAAAATAAAAAAAACACATGGACCATAGGGGCCAACTCCCCTTACACATATACTAATATTTATAAATCACCACGATCATAGATGGAGAATCCTTCAGTAAAAAAAAAAAAAAAAGAGAGAATATAGCTCTCCAATAGCAACAAATTAACCACCAATCAAGCCCTACAAATAACGTTTGACCATACAACTACCTTAAACCCAAATAGACATGTCCTACAACAATATAACCAGATGCTAGATAGAAAAATCTTACATAGGATCCATTTTATGTCCATTTCATGTTGTACAACTACACAAGCAATAGACAACTTATCAAGTGCAAACGAACCTGGTGTAGGGAGCCTTAGCATCACTCATTCGCCAACCACACATTTCTCCAATACTCAGGTGAGCAAACGAACACGTGTCACAATGAGTTTGAAGACAAATGTAATAACATTACGTGAGGGTGAAAACACAAAAAATTGTGTTGCTCTTAACAAATAGGTGTTGTTACCAAAATATCCTTAGTCTCTTCATTATCCGCGTGTTGTCCCTTGGTGTGGGATGCCATCCATATTTCCAGACTATCGGGTTCTTTGCCTTTGGCCTTTATCTGCAAGTACATTTATCTCGGCCTTACTAAAAAAGGTCATCCAAAAAAAAAAAAGAAACGAAAAGCAACAGCATATACATGCAACAAGATTTGTAATGATAAGTTGGAAAATAAAGCAGAGACAGACTCCCTTATAAGGGCAATCTAGTCAACTAGCAGCAAAAGATAGCAATGAATCTATACTACAACAATATATAAACTAGACCTGCATTGAACCAAGTATACACGAAATCAAGCTCAAAACTAGGCCAATTTAATTGCACTACTAGAAAAAGATTGATCTGGCGCGGAAGAAATGGTACAAAAAAACCGCAACTATTATGCCAATTTGGCGTGGCTTGTGTCGCAGTTTCTATCCGGTACAGAATCTCGGTTCCAATGTTCTTAGTAGCGGATGTCCAGACCAAAAATAAAAATTCTTGGCACCACTATTGGAGCCATAAATAAGAAAACCAAAAAAAAAAAAAAAAAAAAAGAGAGAGAGAGAAGAAAGTTGAGGTGCCGAAGGTAGTGCCATAATCTATACCAAAAAATATATATTTTCTTTTTAAAAAAACTTATTGGTGCCGAAAGCAGCACCAAAAAAATAATTAAAAATAATTTTGGCATTAAAAAAAATGGGGAGCTAAGCCTGCTGACTCTAGCAATACATTTGATGCACCCCAGATTGTGTATGCTTGCCACTCTGAGTCTGAAAAAAAAAATCAAATAAGCTCACATATGATAATTAATATATATATATATATGTTTGTGTGTGACCTTGCCATAGAACCATACTTCTATTAAAAATCCACTACAATAAATCCATAAGCAGACAGAGATGATCATAACTATCCATACGCAACGACGGAGCTGTTGAATCGAACTAGACAGTTTTCAATCAAAGGTACACCTATTAGCTCGAATACGCTACTTTGCAACACATTAATCAAAATGAGTGATAAAAAAAATGCTTCACTTGCTACAACAATGTTGTATCTCAAAAAACATCAGTGCAGTTTGATATCTTCATTTTTTCACACATAGTCAAACAAATGGAGAACCTCGATTGTTATATAATACCATCAAACAGATCCTCTAGATTCTCAACATCATTCAGAGCTAAAAGCTACTCAGAAATTCATCATCAGCAATAGAAATAATTTTCAGGTTGTTCCAAGGATAAATTATCCGACCAAAGGAATAATGATTTGAAAATGATAAAATCACAAAACACGCTTCCATAAGTGTGGACATGACTCCCACCTTCTACTCAATGCTGATGAGAATCTCTGATTCATTAGAACTTCACAATGAAGTGAAAACCTACTAGTAAATAACAATTATATTAAACATCGACTGAAATTGAATCCAAGCTTAATTAACAAGTTCTACACCTAAACAACTAAATAAACACAAAACTAACTATAGATTTACAACCATACTAATCTAAATTAATTAATGGAGCAGCCCATCTTAGCCAAGGAAATCCAAGAAACAGAACAACATAAATTATCCTACTGCAACAACAAGGTTAAGGAACTAGACAGAAATTAAACAACCTAAACCAATCTAATCTATCCTACAACAATCAAGACATATATAAACAATCAAGAAGCAAACTTATATATTATCTACATTCAAAGCCAAGAAAAACTTCCCTGATTGCAGAATTTTTCATGGTACAGAATTTTGGAGGGGGCTGAGGGGAGGGGCTGATCTACTAAATCCTCATACTTGCATACCTTTTTGCCTTCGAACAATTGCGGTTGACACTGAGGAGGAGCTACAATTAACAGAGAGAAAAAAAAATCAGCCATAAGGCTATTTAACAGAGAGAAAAAAAAATCAGCACAGGGCTAGACCTAAAGCTAATTGCAACATCAACCAAAGCAAGACACATTTAATTTGTTAGGGCTAGCACAATCTACTCTTAATTGCCAATATATAGTTCAAAGGCATATCAAAAAAATAAATTTATCAACCATTGCAAATTTTCAGCCGCTTTAACTCAGATGCAGCTCCTATCACAATAATGTCATCTAAACCGAAATTTAGGCAAGCTGATGATCATAGAAAGCATGACAAAAAATAGTCATATCAATCAAATTTGATGTAAAGAACCGAATTAATCATAAAATAGTTACATTCAGAATCCAACTACGAGCATCATGCTAAATATATATATATAACTAGAGATCAAACAAGCATATAAGAAATTCAAGAATACAAAGAAAATATACAACACATTTCATACTTCAAGGTGAGACAGGGTGAGATCGGCACAACTCCAATGACTCTTTTATTCCATACATTTACATACACGAATCAATCGCAGAAAATTATAATGTAAGTATATGTTACTTACAGGACCAACTACATTTATGCAGTGTTTAATATTATTCTCCTAGAAGTGACTCAAATGTTAATGCTTAGATTGTCATACACAATCCTCGTCTTAGAGTTTTCTCCACAAATATCCCACATCACACAACCATATAAGTGTGATTGGATCTTGGAATTCAGCTCAACTAACATAATTTTTTCAATTTCCAATTTTAACCTATAACATATTTTTTGCACAAAATCAGAATAACCAAAAGTAGCAATACAACATATAATTAAATAATTTTCAAAAC